CAACCCCCTGCCCCGGGCAGGGACACCTTCCACTAGAGCAGGTTGCTCCAAGCCCCTGTGTGCAACCTGCCCTTGAACACTGCCAGGGATGGGGCAGCCACAGCTTCTCTGGGCACCCTGTGCCAGCACCTCAGCACCCTCCCAGGGAAGAGCTTCTGCCCAAGAGCTCATCTCAATCTCCCCTCTGGCAGGTTCAAGCCATTCCCCTTGTCCTGTCCCTCCATCTCTTGTCTAAAGCCCCTCTCCAGGTTTCCTGGAGCCCATTTAGGTATTGGCATTATTAGGTTTTATTGCTATTATTATGTATTAGGAATGAAACTGAGCATTTTACTGGGTTGAGCAGTGGCAAAACCCACATTGGTCTGTAGGAGCTCAAAGATGCAGAGAGTCTGTAGGTGTTGGGGCAGCCCCGTCTCTCGCTATCAAGGCTTGGAGCACGTTACACCAATGTAATGTCTGAAATGAGGGGAAGGGTTTTCACCTCATTCATCACTAAAGTGGCTTTTTCTTGCCTTGCTGGAACATGCAAACCTAAATAAATAAATAGCAGAGCCCTTTGCCTTCCAGTCTGGCCACGGATGGGGGTTTGTATCCTCCCCTGTTTCTACAGCACTGGAATAACTCATGCTGGCTCTTGGATGCCATTTCCCCTCCTCTCAGACTGATAAGAAAAACGACCCGTTTCTCTCCTTCCAGCACTTCACAAATTCTGCTCCTTGTATAGGATTTTTTTGTTATATATATCTCTCTAACAGAACTCTTTGGGGTAATTTTAACTTCATGTGAGAGAACGTGGCTGCCTCTTGCAGATGCCTTCGTGTGCTTGCAACGTGCAAGCAAAGAGCGAGGTGTGGAATTTCTCCTCACCATCATAATCACTTTCAGATGATCTGAAGTTGTGCATGTGCTGTTGTTCCCATTGAGAAAATAGGGGTTGGGATTAGATCAAGGCTTTCCCCACCTCTGTACGCTTGTATCCATGGGAAAAGCTGGATACTTCTGCTGCAGGAAGGATTTCTGGAGGAAATAATTGTGCGTGCCCTGTGCTTGGAGCCATTCCTGGAGACTCCCTCCATGGCAAGTGGCAGAAACCAAACCTTCTCAACCTAGAACTCAGTGTTTCCCTGCAGATGCAAGTGGCTTTGCAGCCATTCCAGTGGGATCATGTAAAACCAACAGTGAGAGGAGAAAACGTTGTGAACTCTAAATCCTGATTTACACTCATTATCGCTTGGGATGGGTCCCTCTTTCCAGCTCCAGGTTGTTGTATTCAGTTTCGGTTTGGTCGGGTCAGGTTTTAGTTGTGTTTTGGCAAAGTCAGGCCGTGTCTCATGGAATTTCCCTGGGTTTATATCTTTTTGGCCAGCTTCCCCTAGATTTTTGAGGTCTCTGGTTCTGCATCTACTTGGAGATTTAGTTCCTTTCCCGTTCCATCAGGCACTAAGTTTGGCTGTTGCGCTGGTGATGCTTTGCTATGAAGGATGCCTCTGGCATCCTGACCTTTGGCAGGGCTCACCATCACATCCCTGATTAAAGGCATGGAAAACCAAACCCTCCTCACTTCTGTTCTGATCCATGTGGCAGGAGCACCACCAGAACCTATTTAAAGTAAGGACCTTTCTGCTTTTATATGTGAATCCTGCCACTCTACAGTTTTGGGGTCCCACACTGCAGGTAGAGGGTTCTGTGTGTGTCCTGCCCCTCTCATCCTGGCAAAGGGGTGGGTAGTGGGAGGCAAACCTCATGGGAATCCTGTTAGGGCATGTGTGCCATCAGTGTGAGCGGGCAGAGGGAAGGAACAGGGGTACAGTGATGCTAAGGGGCACATGCAGAGGTGAAGTTACTATTCTCCTGCTTCCTGCTCCTCTTGCCCTTTTTGCCGAGGCCTTGCATGTAGAGCTCTTCCACAGCTTTCTGCTTGTTGGGACCTTCACTAGGACCTCCAGGGTCCTTCCAGTCATGGAAGCCAAGGACCTGCTTGCAGATCCTTGCAGATCAAATCCCTGCTGCAGATCAAATCCCTGCTGCAGATCAAATCCCTGCCTGCCTCCAGGCTCCACCAGGGACCATTCTGATCCAAATTTGGCTCCAAATCTTGTCCTGTTTGGACTCTGCCTGAGGGCACCATGAGCTAAGCCATCCCTGGATAGGTCACCTCCATCCCAGGCAGACAGGAATCTCCCCTGAACACAAACCCAGGTCATTTTCCTTGGCTTTTGGTATAAAAATGGGATTTTGTTATTATTCATTCCTATTCCCCATACAGTGCTGAAAGCTTCCAACCACAGACCCAGCTTTGTGGTCAGAGAGTAAGAGCAAATGTCCCATTTGAAAGCTGTGTGCTTCCACCCGGAATGGCAAAGGGCTTCTGTGGTTCCCAAAACTACCTATTCCCCCGAGAAGCTCCAGCTTTTCAGTGAATGATGAAGCTGATGTCTTGGTCTTATTCAATTACCCACCAAGAGACGCTTTACACTCCAGGGAAGTGTTTTCTAAAGGCTGTATTCCAGAATATTCCCAAAATAGCCTTTACATGGAATCGGAAACCTCTCAAGATGTGGTGCCTTTGTGCTTCTGCTGTCCTCAGGACACAGAGTACATGTGATGGATCATGGGCTGGAGTAAAGACCTTCCCATTCCTCATCTCTGCTCCTCTTCAAAGCCTCTTTCCCAGGAGAGCTTTGACCAACCAGCAGGGAATGTGCATTGGCTGCATTGGTGGGATCTGGGGTCCCTGGAGGGAGCAGGGGGAGACCTGCAGGAGTGGGGAAGGGTCTGGAAGTGCTTTGGGATGAAGAGGACGTGCTCAGGATCCCTGGGGAGCTGGGAGTACAGCAGTATGGGAAACTTAGGCACAAGTCCATAAGAAATCAGTCATTATTAGCACAGCTGTTTACAGAGCAAGTCCTTTGAGTTGGTGAGAGGCCATTTCCAAGTGGAAAACCTTTGGGCTGGGTGGAAAACTGCATGGTATTGTGAATTTCCATAACAACTACCTGTCTAGTTTTACAAAAATGGGAAAAAGTGTTGAAAATCTGGTATTCTGAGGTTCTTCAGGTTTTCACTTGGGCTCTTCCACCCAGTCTTAGTGCCAGGTTACTCCTGGTTTGCCTTGCAGAGTGGTTGTCATTATGGTCTATACAAGCTGGGGCTCTGGGAACAGTGATCCCTGGATATTTCCTGTATGATTTCCTTATCCTTAGATTTAACTTGACATCAGAACACTCCTTAAACAACAGAGGAATGTCTAATGAGCGCCAGTAGCTGGATGCTGAAGTGAGGGGAACTCTTCCAGTGGAAATAGGATGCTAATTTGGGAGATGAAGGTTAATGAACCATTGGAACAATGTGCTGAAGGTTGTGGTTAATTCATCATTGCTCGAGGCATGATGTGTGGAGATTGAATGTCCCCCTATGAGATACTGTCCAGTTCTACTCCGTGCTCCTGTTCAGCAGTGCTCATTGTGGGGCTTTTTGGGAAGGGCCAGTGGCTTTGATGCACTTTTCATCCAACGTTGCCATAGCTGAGAAGAGCTTTGCCTTCTGCTGGGGGGATGGTTGGGTGGAAGGGCAGAAGAAAAGGTTGTAAAACTCATGGGTTTAGAATCATAGAGTCACAGTTTGTGTTGGGAGGGACCTTAAAGCTCCTCCAGCTCCAACCCCTGCCCCGGGCAGGGACACCTTCCACTAGAGCAGGTTGCTCCAAGCCCCTGTGTCCAACCTGCCCTTGAACACTGCCAGGGATGGGGCAGCCACAGCTTCTCTGGGCACCCTGTGCCAGCGCCTCAGCACCCTCACAGGGAAGAGCTGCTGCCTAAGATCCAACCTAAATCTCCCCTGTTTGAGTCTGAAGCAGTTTTTGCCTCTGTAACACGCAGGGAACACGGCAGCAAAGTCGTGTCCCCAGAGCAGTGCTTATTGTGAAGACGTTGTGGCTGCCACCACAGGAGCATGTACTACTCCTTCAGCTGGAGCCAGCTCTGATCTGCAGCACCATGCAGATGTTTACCACCTTCTAAAGCTCTGCTTGTGCTCTGCAAGCCCAGCCTTGTTTCCATTGCCATCAATTCCAATTACAGCCCCCTCCCTGTGCTGATGGATAATCCTGCTTGGCTTTCAGCACTCTGTTAGTACAGAGCCTGAGCTGGACACACAACTTGCTACCCTCCGTTCTACCCCCAGTCAAAGCATCCAACAAGGAGTGGTTTGGACGATAGGCTCTGAGACACAAATAGATGGATAATGAATTTGAAGGTTATATGTCACTGGAGGCCTTTCTAATGCCTTCTGGTACAGTGCCCTGACGCTGCTTGCTTGATTTATGGTGTTATTAGAAATCCTCATTGGCAAACTGCCTCCTCGTTTGCTACACGTTTTAATTTATCAAGATGCCATTGGTTAGACTTGACTTTTGTTGTGTTTTTAGGGCTTTTCCCCTTCTATTTCCCCCATTCCTCCAACAGTCTTGTGGGTAACAGGCACTACGAGCTGTTTCCAAACTTGCTTTGCTTTAAAGTGGCAGGGTGATAGAACATCCTGTACCAATTAGACTCAATATGCTGAGGAGGGACTTCCAAACTGCCTGGTATGTGGTTGTGGGTCTTTGAATTGGAGCTACTTTAAATAGAGCTCTTTCCAAATGACCTAAGCAGGAGTCTTTGTATTTCATTGTGGTCTTGATAAGCAGAGTTTACACAGCTTATGCTTTTCCCAGTGCTGTCATCTT